GAATGGTTTCTGATTCCCTACAGCCTGTAAGTGGATAGATAGACGCATGTGGTACATTAATGTATTAGCTGATCAGATGTTTCCTCCCATCTACTCCATGTTGTGTATATCAGAAGACTACGTCTCCCAGTATGCACTGGGCTTTCCGTCAAGCCCCATAGAGCCACCCCACCCCGCAGACACCCCCTTTGCTTCTGCAAACAGACGTCTCGTTAAATGGCTTTTGGCGGAACACCGATCTCTGCTTGGTGAGGCAATCAGGGCAGTTTGTCGACATGCAGGTTCTGATTGCCATGTGGGATAAATAACCAGTCTAATGACTCCGCTTGTGTATACAGTCGATTTAAAAGCCAATACGGAGGTCCAGTGCCAAGCCTGAACCCTGATTGGGTTAACCCTGGGAGGCGGTAACTAGGGAGAATCAAAGTGTGGGCGTGATTGTGGTGCATCATAAATCTCATTGGTTACTTTATCAGCTCCCACTGGGATTAACCAATCAGTAGTTGAGAGGACTCCTGCCTACCATATGCCCAGTGCCCGAGCCACTGTAGTCACAGTGATGATGGCTGAGATGGGTGGGTCCATCTTCTGGTAAAAAGGTACAGATCCCCTGGCAGCTGGGCCGGGTCGGCACCCCACCCCTCATGTTGAGTTGGGGATGTTTGACCCCGGGGAGGGGTGGGCATGCTGACGACATCAAGCTGCCCCTGCATCCCTGACCAGCAGTGGGGAAGGGGGGGGAGGCGAGGGCAGTGGACGGAGCCTCACGATGTTTCCGGAAGTCGGCGCAACGAGGCGGCTCCTCTCCCCGCCAGGACCACAGCAGCAGGCCCTTTGCGCCATGGCTGCCGTTCCCATGGAAACCAGGCAGATGATATTGTCGGGGGAGGGGATTATATAAGGGCTTAACGAGTTAGTGGGATCGGGGCTGTCCTGCCATCCACAGCGGTTCCGGGGCGATCCAAATTGGCGGTGTTGTCGTCTCTGCGAGCTGGTGGGGAGCGGCTGTGCACGGGGGGGGGGCGGTCGGCGAGTTTTTACAGTGTGTGGATCTGAAGCTCTACCGCTTTAATTTGTCATCACTTGCAGAATTAAAGTAATTTGTATAATAATGCCGGAGCGTATTCTGCTAATGTACCCTAGCCGCTCTCACAGCGCTGTCAGCCACCGCATATTAATCTGTTACCATGACGTCGGTTCATCTGCCAATCAGTCACTTTTCATTTGATACACCGCCCCCCCTCACTGGCACACGTTTGCATGTTAAAAAAGTTGATTGGTAAATGGTGTTTTGAGAAGGAGATGGAGGTACGGCCCATGTATGGGAGATCCTGGAAAGTGTGTCTGGATCTTGACTGCACTGATTCACGCTGGTGCTGTAGAAAGACGGGGGTTCTGTTCCTGCCCCAGCCAATAGGAGGGTTCTATTGGCTCCCCCTCCCCCCAGAATATTCTCCTGGAATAGTGAACCTGCCAATCCATCACCTCAGTGAGGATGATGATGGTCATTTAACTGAATGTTAATCCAGGAGAAATGAGGAGATCGGACAGCGGGAATCATCCTGAATATCTTGACTGTTTTTCCCTCCTGTCCTTCTCTCCAGGGGACGTTATTGTTATGGGGGGAGGCTTTGTAGGCGTTGATGACAAAGAGCATGTTGTGATTGGTCGACCCTGGCAGTAGCTGATGCACAGAACCTCATGCACACCTGCCCACACAAGCCCATTGCTTGAGATTCTTTTGTTTCGCCAACCACAGTGGACTTGTGTTCTGGTCACGCATCATGCCCCACCCCAACTCGGCCCCACGCAGACACTGCGGTCCGGCTGCCGCGTTCCACTCTGACGGTCTCGGTCGGGAGCAGCAGTGGGAGCAGGAAGCTGACCTCACAGACTTGTCCTCACGCGGTCCCATTTGAAATCGAGTGAAAATGGGGGGGGGGTCTGTAAATGTCGATAAACATCACAGGAAGGGCCTTGTTCGATTTTACCCTCTGCCACAGGAAGGACAGGCTCTGAACTGCCCCCCCCCCCCAGCGGCTGGTCCTGCTTGCTAATCAGCTCTCTGCGCACTTTCACTAATTTGATCTGTTCCATGTTGGCGCGCCCCGTTACGCCTCGCCGTGTGGAGTCGCCGTTCTTGCCCCCCCCCGGGAGTGCGCGTCGGAGCCCGTCGGGGTCCTGTGGAGTGCGCCGCTCCCGCCGGCTGCCGTCTGCACACATTTGTCACGCTTCTGTCGCTGCATCAGTTGTTTATTAGCATCCGAACGCTAATAAAGAAAAAAACCAAAGACCTTGAACACGCTTGCTTGGCACCTTAGCGCCCCTGAAGCTATAAACAGTGAATGCAGCACGTGTTGCGTGGAGAGTTTTCATGTATAAAAAGGTTTGTCCAGTTGTCCTCATTACCGCCCCCTAGCAGTTTGGAGGGGTACTGTTGCTTCCTGTAATGGTGGGCTGCTTGGATGGCATGTTCAGGATGGACTTCTGGGGGAAGCCTAGCTTGCAGTCCAGACAGGTGGTGAGGGTGGGTGGAGACAGTGATGGGGCAAAGACAGGGTGGAGGGGGGTGGAAAAGGGTGGCTGCAGGTGGGTGAAGACAAGGAGGATGGGGTTGGAGGCAGACTGGGCCCCTTCCTTCACTCGATGCTTAATTGTAGGTCAGCCTGCAGAGGTGACTTTTTCGTGGGGGGGGCACACATCAGCATGGCTTCATTAACAGCGTGACATTTTATCTGATAATTTTCCCCAGTCGCTCCTTGGTGTGTCTCCATGGTTACGTTGTACAAATTGAGCGCGTTTTTAGTAATGTTGCCGAACTTGTTTTTTTTTTTTTTGTTCACACCTGATTCTGTTGGTTAATAGGTTTTGTTGTTTGAAATGAGGCTGGATCTGAGGACAGGGAGCTGCTGTCGGAGCTGAGCACAGCACAGCAGCTGAACTCTCAGCAAAAACTCAGCCTACTGTATAAATAAGCAAGTGTGAAAAATGGTAAAATATGTAAATTACTTCTGTCACTTAATCATTTCAAATTAACAAAAGCCAGCCTGTCTGAGCTGTCTGAGGAATATCCTTTGAGATGCTCCTCTATAAAACCAGGGAGACTTTTGACCTTGGAAGGAGGGGGAGATTGTCCTCCAGCACGGGTGGAATGTCTGATAGTCCTGGCTGGATTAGGGAAGAATTTGCCCATGCTGGTCCCGTTGTAGAATGTTCTAGAGAGGCATACAGCCTCTATACCGGCAGTAAACTCGCACTCGCAAGTGTCATTGGAGATCTCTCTCCCTTCTCTGAATGCACTGTGGATAGAGGGGGGGGACACACAGTTCTGAAGAACTATTCGGGGGGAGGGGGCTCTCTGATTTGTGCCCCTGATTTTTCCAGGGCGGACGCTCGCGATTACCGGCTCTCTCTCTCTTTATAGCGTAAAGCGTGTCCGGTCCCGTACTGGAAAAATGGAGAATTTCTGTGGATAAATACCGGGCGTCACACCTCGGAATGTGCCGTAGTTTGCGGGCGCATTTAAAAATAAATAAAAAAAGGCTGATGTGGGAAATTTTTAATGGTGGTATTAAAGTGGGACACCGCAAGCTGACTTGGGCACGCAAGGTCTTAAAGCTGAAAATGCAGGCACGTGCCCGGAATGAGGCTGGTCGAGTCGCCGCGGTAATGCCGCCCCAGAGTGGCTCAGATGCCGGACCGCGGATGTGGAATTATTTCCCCAGGAAACGTCAGATGTGATTTTATTTTTGTTTTTCCTTCTCTACGACTTGGAGCAGGCTTGTTTTTTGTTGCAAATGAGATTAATTTGGATTGTGTGGCATTGCTGATTACGGTTATTAAGCACTCACCTGTCAGCACCCCCCCCCCCCCCCCCCGAAATAAAAGTCCTTTAAAGGCTGCAGCTGCGAGGGGGGAGGCATCATTTAAATACAGTCTGCTGTGCCCCCGCTGGCTCTGTGACGTCCCCCTTTGTTCTGGCCTCCTCCTGAGGTGCCGCTCCTTAAATATGTGCCAGTACCCCCCACCACCAATGTGTGCAGCCCCCCCCTCCTAAGGGACTGATCCTAAATGTGTCCTGTTATGGCCGAACCCCTTTCGGAGAAATATGGTGTTTTTTTGTTTTTTTTCTCGCTGGGAGGGCACTCACTGATGGGAGAAATGTTTAAGAAAACAGACTGCAGCCCCCACCCCACCCCCAACCAAGTTTGCTCCCCTGCCTCTTCTCCCCCCCCATCCTGTTCGTTCGCAGCTGTGCCGTTCATCGATCCGATTCCCGCCCCCCCCACCCATTCAGCAAAGCTCCAAAATAATCGCCGTTTTGCCATCGCTTCCATTTCGGTGGTGCTTGGCAGACACACTAAGAGGCCGCTGTGTTTGCCAGCAGAGCTTTGCCCAGGATATGGATACGGTCTGTGGTGTTTCTCAGGGGGTGTTTCTGTGGGGTTCTGATGGGGCTATAGGGGCTGATTTTACAGAAACACTTAAGCAGTCTTAGCAGTACTGGGAGGGACGATGACACACAGGCCATTTTTTATTGGCTAATTCGCTGGTTCCCATTGGCTGGTTCAGATTGGCTAGACAGAGCGGTGATTGACAGGGCAGCATAATTGTACCTATCTGGCTGTACCTTATATCCCCTCTAACATGGTCTTAGAAGCAGCTTGGAGGGGTGTGAGCTGTTTGTACACCCGCAGCCCTGATCTGCGTACGATGTGTGGCCACTATAACCAAGGGTGTAACTTTGGGGTGACCATTGGGGGGATTGGCTGGTTTTGATTATTAGGGGAGTTAAACCCCACCCCTCCATAATTTACTCACATGGCTGTCACTCTGGTCTGTAATGTTCCTGTGATTTGTTCATCTGTCTTTTGGTGTGTGTGAGTATGTTTGTGCATGCATGAGAAAACTGGTGACACAGTGAATTAGAGATTAGAGAGATGGGCACGCATGTTATACATGTAACACGTGTAACACCCCGCCTACGTATCTCTCCATAGCAACGGCACCGGCAGCAAGATGAACGGGGCGCTGGAGCATTCGGACCAGCCCGACCCCGACGCCATCAAGATGTTTGTGGGCCAAATCCCACGGTCTTGGTCAGAGAAGGAGCTGAAGGAGCTGTTCGAGCCGTACGGCGCCGTCTACCAGATCAACATCCTCCGAGACCGGAGCCAGAACCCGCCACAGAGCAAAGGTAATGATTCCGGCACGCTCCGATCGCACCTGTCTGACATTTGGTCCCCACAATGTAATACACTCACCTAAAGGATTATTAGGAACACTTGTTCAATTTCTCATTAATGCAATTATCTAATCAACCAATCACATGGCAGTTGCTTCAATGCATTTAGGGGTGTGGTCCTGGTCAAGACAAATCTCCTGAACTCCAAACTGAATGTCAGAATGGGAAAGAAAGGTGATTTAAGCACCTGAGCATTGTTTCTGACCATGTCCATCCCTTTATGACCACCATGTACCCATCCTCTGATGGCTACTTCCAGCAGGATAATGCACCATGTCACAAAGCTCGAATCATTTCAAATTGGTTTCTTGAACATGACAATGAGTTCACTGTACTACAATGGCCCCCACAGTCACCAGATCTCAACCCAATAGAGCATCTTTGGGATGTGGTGGAACGGGAGCTTTGTGCCCTGGATGTGCATCCCACAAATCTCCATCAACTGCAAGAAGCTATCCTATCAATATGGGCCAACATTTCTAAAGAATGCTTTCAGCACCTTGTTGAATCAATGCCACGTAGAATTAAGGCAGTTCTGAAGGCGAAAGGGGGTCAAACACCGTATTAGTATGGTGTTCCTAATAATCCTTTAGGTGAGTGTATAATCCTAATACACACACACACACACACACACTGATCTGTCTCCTCTGCCTGTCAGCTCCGTCTCCTCCTCCTCCTTGTTAGTCGTACATCCTGTCCTTCCCGAGGTCGCAGGCTGGTCCCCGTTTCGCCGAGGCTAATGGCTAACCCGCCGTCATCTGTATAAAAGTCATACATACAGCTCTCTCTCTCTATCTCTCTCTCTTTCTCCACCATCTAGTCTGCTTAACTCTGAGTCTGCCGTGACATTGTTGTACTCTTATTACCCATCCATCCATCCATCCATCCATCCAACCGCCGTATTCAGGATCGCAGGCTCTCATTATCTCTGTATTAAATACAGAATTCGGCAGTTATGGATGGCGAGTCCAGGTACTGAGGTGCTATTTCGTGTGAGGGACACGTGCATTAGAACACATGAGTGTCAATGGAGGTCACATGCCTCAAAAACAGTGTGTATTTCGCTGTCTCTGAGGCGCCACCTCCTCAGTGGCTGAACGTCATAGCTTTCCATCTCCATTTGTTTTGCGAAGATGAACCTAAATGCGGGTGTATGATGTCCAGGAATATTGCTGACCACCCGTTGCCTCAGGCAAGAAAAAAAATGATGTACGCTTGTTTGTGGGACAAGCAGCACGAGTTTAATAATTCATGGAGTCACTCCGCATGAATTTGGGCATCTGATGGAACATTCCAGCGGAAGCGTTCTCCCCGATGAACAGGGGGGCTGCGAGTTCACCGACTCCGTGGATTGACGTGACCTACCATTATTGGGTCGCGCCTTGGGTACGTGCGTCGATTAAGCTCGAGTGGAGATGGTCGGGGACACTTCAGAGACGGGGTTCACTCAACCCCGTGTAGGACGGAACACAGGGTGAAGAGGACCGGCTGGATTCGTGTTAAGCGGACGTTGGTCGTGATGTTTTAGACAGTGCTGACTCTAACATGCAAACTCCACGCATGTAGAGCAAGGGTGCTGACCCCAGAACATGCATATGACTGTGAGATCAAATTGTTCCAGCGGTCGTGATGACGATGGGTTTACCGTTCAAACACCGGCATCCCAACCATGTTGTTTTCAGGGGAGCTTGAGTGCACGGGCTCACCCGGGCTGTAGCCCAGGGGCCTCTGCTCAGAAGGGCTCTAAGGAGTTTTCGGGGTCAGTCTTGTTGCAATTCTGACCTGCTTTTTTTCCTACCCTATTTTCGTGTTAATATAATGTTCAGCTGGATTGAAAAATCTACCAAAGAAATATGACCATTCAACAGCGGACTTATAACTGGGAGTTTGATGAGTGAATTTGCTATTAAATTGGTGTTTGTAGCGCACAATAAACTGTACATTTTCCGAGGAGAAAAATGCGGTTTGGGCCGGATTTTTCTGAGAAACCCTTTTCAACAAAAATACACCCGTTTATGTGCAGTGGCATAGATATGGTAATATTAGCATATAGCATTACACCTTTGCTTAGTCTGCTTTAAAAATGTTTTCAACTGTAGTAACCATAGTGACAGTGAAGGGGAAATATTCTGATTTTTGAACCATTCAGATTTGGATGTGACACCCCCACAGATCAGGGGGCGTCTGGGTCATTAAGGATAACCACGGCTCGAGCAGAGGTTCCAGGACGGCCTGCCTGATTTCCTGGAGAGCCCATCTCGGCTCTGGGGGGCATCCTGCTCTACTAGCCATTTCTGTAAGTTGCATCAGACGTGCCATGTTCCCGGGAGCCGTCGGAGCAGAGCTAGGGGCTCCTCTCTCTGCTGTCCGCTGGCATTGTGCAGTCTGAGCTCCTGCTTCCCAGGGGGCGCTAGCACGCACAGAACTGGAATTAGGAGTGATAGAGAGAGGCTGGTGTGTTTTTTTTTTTTTTTAATTATTATTTTAAAAAATAAAAAATAAAAACAGGTTAACATGCTGAGGCTGAGGGCTGCACAGCTGCACAGCCACTAAGAGGCATGCCTGGGGGGGGCGGCTGGGAGTTGCCGGGATTTTTCCTGCTATAGAGACCTTAATGAGATGCTGCTGTCTTACAAACTTGAGTGAGCGATCATTGTAGCGGCCTTAATGTCCCCCTGGAGGATCATGGGAACTCTGGAGAATTTGCACAGAGTCTGATGTGTATTTCTAGTGTCTGCGATCTCTGCATCTCCAGTGGCTCGTGGTTTCCACGTGTGCGACCTTGCATTTCCATCCCTCGGGACCACAGCGGAGCCTTCCCATGATGCATCACACTCTCTATGGGTGTTGTGCTGCACTGGGCCAGTTCTCAGTGTCAGATCAGCGCAGTCGATTGGTTTCTTTGATATTGTACAATGGTTCAGGAGGGGCGGGGGGTAAGGAGGCTTGGATAGTGGGGGTGTAAGGGGGGGTTTGGACAAAGTGAGACATACTGTCTGTAAGTAGGATCGTTCCGGAGTGGATCACGGCTGACCGCAGTGCCGAGTCAGTCAGGGCCGCGGGCAGCCGGTTCCTCACCATCATCTCGCTCTATTAAATTACTTTACGGGTCAGTCTGTGTGGCGCACGGCGCTGTTTCCGTAGCGATGGCATTCCGCGTGTGAAGATCTGAGGGAGGCAGCGTTTTGTTCTCTGTAAAGTAAGCAGACAAGAAGCCCATTAAGTGTGTGCCTTCGTTAATGAATAAAACATCCTTTTTAACTCCGAGAGTGTGCTCTCTCTGTCCTCCAAGCAGGCCCCTCTCTCCTCCATCTCTCTCTCTCCCTCTCTCTCCCTCTCTCTCCCCCATCCTCCACAGTCCTGCTTAACCACATCTCTGCCAAAGGTTTAGTTCTGATCCGGAGCACTGTTTTGGAAACGTGTCCCGCTGTTTCTGACAGGTTGAGAGACTCGTGGTTCTGGTTTGATCCGCCGTAACCCGGCAGAGAGTGAAACACCATGGGCGGGGGGGGTGGGTTGGCTACGATGTGTTCAGTCACACGTACACAGTGTGTGTGTCTGTGTGTATATGTGTGTGTCCACTCTGTAGGGTCGGCCCAATGGGGACAAACCCACCCCTTGGCTGGGTTCCGGTGGCCCGGTGCCAGGCAGTGAGGAGGTGCTGCCCACACTACCAGTCTGTTCTAAACATGCAGGGCACGGGCCAGACGGCCAGACGGCTCGGCCGACACACGGGCGTCCCTGATAGGTGCCGGCGGGCTCGTGAAGGACGCCCACGCACACATGTGGTCACGTTCACCCCGCTGTCAGCGGCAAGCCATACCAGCCTGAGAGACTGAGGCTGTGGGTTTTATTAATGCCCCTGCCTGGCCTCTTTGGCGGGGGGGGCGCGGGGGGCATTGTGCCAAGGCCTCATTAACATGTTAATGTATTCCGATAGATTATCGGCCATAATTGCCAGGGCACACTGGTCACAGCCTCTCCCTGAGGCTGCCCCGGCTTCACCCTTCCTCTTTCTCCCCTGGTGAGGTCACCACGGCCATTAAATGCCACATTTCATCACAGAAAGCCCCCCTTCTCTGCCCAAGACCCCCTCAGCCGCTCCTGTCGCCGCCTACTGTTCCTCACCTCGGCTGCTTGTCTGGTTGGGTGATGAGGACCGCACGTC